TAGCCATATTAATATTTATGCTGCCGTAATTTGTATTCTTACAGATTTACATCACAAAGTCCAAGTCCTGCCGAATTTTTCACAGTAATTTAGTTATATTCACACAACTAGTCCAACAAAGAACCAGTCAGATTTAATGAGGTTAAAAAAAAAAATTGACTCCTGCAAGGTGAGGCATTAAGGCGTCAAGCTCAGAATTAAAATAAAGAACAGCCAGCAGTGTTGCAAAGCAAGCAGCAGGTGGCAGAAAGCGTCTACTGAAGCATAATTCGGAATAAATCGGCCAGAGAACTCTCTCAGATGCTAGAATCCCAGCAGAACAGCTACAGAAACAAGCTTTACGTTACTATTTATGCTATTATCACTTAGGTCACAGCACACAGAATAAAACCAGATAAAATATTCTGTAGCCATTTTCCAAGAAGAAACAAATATTTGTCTTATGAACATGGCAATGCTACCTCTATCAGTGAAAAAGCCAGATTTCACCAAATTAAAAATTGGCTCACTGTACAGCTATAGATGGGGGAACCCAAATTAAGCATCCAGGCTAACAATAGCAAAGCTAAAAGCATGGGAAACCAAGATTCCCCAGTTAGCAACGGTAATGCCTAAATTTGTAGAACCTTACAAAAGAAAAAATTCAAAGTTACTGCACAGTTAAGTGTCTTACTTCTGCTGCTATGACTTGATAGTTTAAAAACAAGTAAGTACACCGAGTATGAAACAAACAGTACAAGAGACTGTTTTAAAGCTGTCATTTTATCTGTTTCTAAGAAAGATGCAGCTAGCTGCGCCTCCCCATGTGGATGGAATAGAAAGTCAGCAAGAAAATGTCCAACGCTACCACATTTATCTCCTCGGTAAGTCACTTTTTATAAAAATCAAGCAAGACTAAACGTACACAGTAATAGAATGACTCACTCTAGCTGTGCATATTGATGCAAGCATACAAGTTTAGATGCCAGTATCGCTAAATTAATCCAATGTGGCATTTACTTTTTACGCGTTAAGACACAAGAGAAGCATTCAGAAGAACAATATCCTATGGAGGTAATGAATCGTAGTTTTGACTAAATAATTTAAGAGCTCATTGATTAAAAAAAAAAAGTTATGTAAACTGACCAAACTTCCCCCTATATATGTTAATTCATTTTTTCCCCTTTATTACTGAAAGGTCATTTATTAAAATTAGTTCCTTATTCATACAAAACTCAGATTTTGCTACAATTTTATGGGGAAAGTTATCAATTACATTTTTACGTATGCATACGATTCCTCAGGCAAGCACTGCAGGCTTTTATTCCTTTGATCAGAAATTATTCCAAAGAAACACTGAAATATGCAATCGCAAAAGCATCAATTTCTATGCTTAGAATTCTGTATTTTCAGCAAAAGTAGCCATGATTTTTGAAACAAAACAAAAAAACCCTTGCAGTTCTTTGGAAAAAACCCCACAGTTCTTCACAGAAAGAGACCACAGCTTGAAACACTAAACTGGATTCTACACGAGGGAACACAAATCAAGAAATACCACGGGAATTTAATCCCGATTTGGATACTGAGGCATCTGGTTTCATGTTACACTTTAATAAGAACTGTTTAAATTCCCAGAATCTAATGTTGAAATTACATTACAAAATAAAGTATTTAAACAATATTTAGTTATGTACATTCTGCTCCAAAAAAGGACTTTGAAATTCTTTACATTTCTCTTAGAAATACATACAAACCACAGCACAGGGCAAGAATCCACTGGCAATTGATAGACACAAGTCACTTAAAGGAAAAATACCCGTGGAAAGTTTTAATCTATTACTGCTTCAGTAACAGCATTTCAGTGTCTCTTCAGACTACGTTAAGTAGTTTGTTCTCCCGGCCTCAAAAGATCACCCAGTTTACCTTGCATGTCGGATGACTACTCATTAGAGTACATCTTTCACAGAAAAAGATGACAAATACTAAGAACAGGAAATTAGGAGTTCAGAAGGTTGTAATACAGGAGAGTCCAGGCAGGTGTACCCTGTGTAAATCATCTAAAACTGAAGAACAGGGAAAATTGACTGTGCCCCTCGGACACCTTACCATACGTATTTTATGGAAAACTTCACATAGCTTACCCTTCATCTTACTTCAAAACACGCCACTTACATCGCTACTCAAAAGATAACATAGATATAAAATAACGAGTTTGTTAGACTGCAGGAACAAATAGTTTAAAGCTCTTTTACCAGTCTAGACAACATACACCAAGTGCTGCAAGAACGCAATTACATTCAGAGAAATGGGTATCAACCTCCATTCCACATTTATCACCAGCGTACGCTAATCATCATCAATTTGGGTGAGGACAGCATAACAGAAATTCTCTTACATAGCCCCGAAGTGCAAATGAATAATTTGTTAAGGAAAAAAATTCCATGCAGTAGTTTTTCCTACAGGTAACTGAATTTCACGTGAAGTGGAAATTGTTTAGTTTTGGTTGCGTTTTATTTTGTCACACACAATGAAGAAACAACAACTTCTAATCCCACAGAAATCTGCTTAGACCACACAGTCTTCCTGTTGAACCATTACAGAAGCAACATTTCCCTGGTTTGACTCAAATGTTTGTGGAAGCACAAATTCATTTATCTTTGCATTGTGCACACATCAATTTTGAGAATCTTTAGTGTTCTGCTTCCTCCCCCCCACCAAGCAATTCAGCCGGGAAATTATTCAGAAGTTACTTTAAAGCTGTTCTTAAGTGACTTTGTGACAAAAAAATAAGACTGCTGCAACCAAGTGAGCTTTCAGGCAAATACGCTGGAAGTTTCTTCAGTTCATTAGAGACAGACCAAACTAAGGCTGCACAAAGAGTCAGTATTTATGAACCAGGGCATCGAAAAGAGATCCCAACTGCCTGAATCAAAGCAGTTTCAGTGAAACAGGCGGCCACTCAAGTCCGGGGATGAGAACCGAACTTTTAACTAGTATTCTGTATTTTGTCTGAAAGACATGTATGCCAGTCACCAAACACCTCTCAGAATTCTAAACACCAGAAGAACAGATGAAAAAAATGGATAGGTATTTAAAACTGTGATGCCTAAGTTCTCCTATATACATACATATAAAAAAAATTAACTTACATTATAATAATATCAAACTGCATAACATTACAAAAGAAGGCAACCTGAATGGCCGAAATGAAAAAAATTGAATGTTACCAACCCTATTGTCACCCTTCTGGAATTTATAATATCACAGAGTAGACTGTTGCTAGTAACAGCTATAGCCCGGTTTAAGCAAAGTCTGCCGTAGTTCCAGAGAATGCAGAAATGATTAATTTGGACAAGTTGTTGCATGCTCTGCTTTCACGTCCTCCTGGCAGGTTTTGCTGTTAACTGCTTCTCTCTTTCAAGTTCCTTCTCACGTTGCTGTTCTCGTTCTAGTTCTTCCTTCTGCCTCTTTTGTTGCAGCTTAAGTGCTCTTTTCTAAACAGAAAAGGCAAGAAAATAATTGTAAGTTTTATAGATGTATTTAAGCTGGAGCTACAAACAAAATCGCTCGCATTCTCTTAACATTATCTCCTCCAATCCACCCTGCTTGTGATTGAGTGTCGCATAAACTGTCCACTACTTCTTCCTCCCTCCCACTTCCAACTTACCGTTCAGAAACGGTAAGTCTGTGATCTACACAGGGAAAACAGAACTGGATTCCCTTCAATCTCACTAAAAGTCATCCTTCGTCTATACCAGACAAGGCGTGTACTGTGCAATTTATTGCCTCCAAGACAAAATCCTTTTGTTGAACATACTGAAGGACTAATCTTGCTGGAACGTAACCAGAGATGGCCTATATAGCATGAAGTCAGTGAACTTATGCCACTGCTAATATTACATTAAATAGAAGGAGAAATTCTTACATTCGTGACCATCTAGTTTTCATTAAAAAGGCACAGAAACAGAAACAACAAAGAGAACTAGTTAGAATGGAGTAGATTAAGCGACAGAACAAAGTATGCTTCTTATACCACCTAAACATGATGACGACACTGAGATTTACTAGTTCAGATGCGTAAGTTGCTTGAGCACAGGTAGTGAAAGTTTAAAAACATACATGGTTTGGCGCTACTGGAAACACCCATTTAAGAAAAGGACTGAAGATTCTATTTTAATCAGAACTTTCAGCATGCATCCAAAATAAAAGTTAGATATTTAACTATGTATTAATTGACTTCTATGTTGGAAAAGAAAAATATTTATCCCACTCACTTTTAACTTTGATGTCTTCTCATGGAGCACCATCATTTCATTTCTAATATTCACATACTTGTTGTGATAGTGTTTAGCTTCTGAAAACTTAAAAAAACATAACAGTTAAAGCAGTGACTGTCAAGTTGGAATAGTTGTTTTATAAAGCTACACAGCAAAACAGGAAATCAAAAACATAGGGGTTACCAGAACCGTTTGATAATGGATTAAACATGTTCAAGTTTATATATAAAGTTTACGTTACATGTATTAATATAGAAAACTACCATATCTCAACAGGTACACCCAGTAATCCACCGAATTAAGATTCATTAAACAGAATAAAAATATTACCATTTCATGCACCGTATATCAGTGTTTTGTGCACCCTTCCTGCTAGTCTGGGGAGGTGCACAGAGCTCATGTCGGAGCCTCAGTCCTACCGAAAAATGGCATACATTTCCTTCGCCTACTGGTTTTGAACCACTAGACTTACTACCACTGGCTGACTGAGCCTGCTCTTCCTTCCCAGTGCCCTTCCTATTTAAGGGAAATACGCTGGTTCCGCACCCTCTCCAAGCAACAATTTGTCCCGAATATCTGAACTGGTTGGTTGTCTTCCTGTAGGCCATTAAGAAGAAGGAAAATATGCAAGTTGCTACTAATGCTTCAGCAAGAAAATCTACACTAGTAGAGATTTAAAAAAGCATTAACGGTACTTACCAAAGCATTGATATCGAGAATGGAGTTACACTCTTTGAATTTTGAAATTTCTTGTTCTAATGTTTCTAGTAATACCACTTGGTTCTGTCTGAAACAAAAAAAAAAGATGCATAAAACCAAAGTAAAGCAGCACATATGCTTTTCAACCAGCCCTTTAAATAAATAACACTTTTGATCATAACAATACAAATACATGCTTCCCAATATCAGATTCCTCTCACGCATCGCTAGGTGATTTCCACAAAGACACAAGTAAACGGTTTTAGAAAAATCCCAGCTGAGTACACACAAATTCAGCTGGCATCATACAGCACGGTAAGATATCCAGGATGAATATCCGAAAACCCTGGACAGGCACTATGCAGGCTGCAGTGAGTAAACACCCCAGGTTGAATGAAGGGGAAAAACAATTAGCTCTTAACTTTCCACTCAGCTGCCTCTGCATCATGCTGCAGGACTAAGTTATTTCTGTACAGAACTTGTGCGGATCCCTGGTGCTTATTAAGGATCTTCCATCCCACACAAATCAGCTAAAGTCTTTCCAGACACAGGCTGTCCTTGGCAGCAGCATAACCACATCATGCATCGTGAAACCCAAACCAACGTACCCTGCAAAACCCGAGACGGCTCTGTGTAAAGCCCTTTCCAGTATCTTTGCACCCATGGCAGATCCAGTCTGCACTGGAATATAAACTATTCTCAGTTACCAGTGAGATGCCAACGTACAAAGAATTCTTATCTTTTTAGCTCCTTAATTATATTTTCCAAGTACATCTTTTGCACACAGTTTAGAGACTGGACAACGAACAATATACCACACTACAAGCTGCCCTGAGAATGAACTGCATCTCTGCAAACACCACGAATCTAGCTTTCAGCAGAATTTCCACTACAAAAGTGAACAAGTATTCGAGAAATCTGCATGTCTTCTGCTATACCTGGCTTCGGGTATTTGAATGTTCTAGCGTTATACACTCTTCAGTCAAAGTTCTGATAGGCTACGCTGCAGCTTATACACCCCCCAGTACTCCTGCAAACCACTTCGCTATTCAGGATGCTATAGTCAGAACACAGAAACGCTGCAATAAACTATATTCCAGTTAAGGGAAGCTAGAACATAACATTGAAAAAAGCAGCAAACAAAGTATGCGCAGGTTTTAAAAATTTGCTTACGTAAGTTCCTGTAGCGCTGATTTTGATCGCTGAAGATCAGGCAGATAATGAGAAATCAATCCTTCAGTTAGCTGCTCCACAGCTTTCTCATCTATTAAAGGCAGATCTTCTACTACTCCTTCATCTGGAGATGCATCACCAGGACCTACACCAAAGAACAGCAAGGTTGAGTGTGACAGGTCAGCACGCACTTCAAGTCTGCCTACAGCAACCACATTCTCCTGTTTAAAAATCAAAAGCATTTCAACACTGAAGTTATAATTCTTTGCACTTCATCAACTAAACTGTGCTTCCTTTTTCCTCCCCCTCTTTACCCCTCCCTTATTCCCAGTCCTATATCGTAAGCTTCCCGGTGAACGGTTTTATCTGAACACCAGCAGAACAGAAAGAGGGAAACGGAGTATTCCAAAGACATCTTATAAAAAAACCCAAACAAACCTCCAAGTACTCCAGTCTACTGAGGAAAAAAAGGGGCAATATCAGTTGTTGCGGCTATGAATCAAGAATACCTAACCATTAACGCCCACCCTTTGCTTTCAAAGTTAGGGAGTTAAACCTAGGTCTACCAAATAAAGGTCTTAGCCTTTCACCCAAAACATACCAAGACCTCCTTCATTAAAACACCACACGCTGAACTCCAAAAGTTTGCGGGAGTCGGTTAACAGTTACCGCCAATAAAAATAAAAATCTTTGATCTGCAGGCCACGCCGCGTGGGAGAAAGCGCCGACAGCGGCACGCGTCTCGCTTCCGAGCGAGCCCAGCCGTGAGGCCTT